ATCAGACCTGCGGCCGCATGTTCTGGACACTCGGGTAAAGAGAGGAGCAGAGTTGTCAACCGACCACCAACTGGTGATGAGTTGGATCAGATGGCTGGGGAAGACGCCGCGTAGACCTGGCAGGCCCAAACGGGTTGTGAGGGTCTGCTCGGAAAGCCTGGCGGAAGAACCCGTCAAGATGATTTTCAACACACACCTCCGGCAGAGCTTCGATCGCGTTCCGAGGGCGGTGGGGGACATTGAGTCCAAATGGGCCTTGTTCCGCTCTGCTATTGTTGAGGCAGATGTTGCAAGCTGAGGCCGCAAGGTAGCTGGGGCCAGTCGTGGCGGTAACCCCCGTACCCGCTGGTGGACACCAGGGGTGGGGGAAGCCGTCAGGCTGGAGAAAGAGGCCTACAGGGCGTGGTTGGCCTGTGGGTCTCAGGAATCAGCTGACTGGTACCGGCGGGGCAAGCGGAGTCAGCCCACGGGCAGTTGCTGAGGCAAAAACTCGGACGTGGGAGGAGTTCGGTGAGACAATGGAGGAAGACTATCGATCGGCTCCAAAAAGGTTCTGGCAAACCGTCCGGCGCCTCAGGGGAGGAAGGCGGCAACTCGCCCACACTGTTTACAGTGGAGGCGGGGAACTGCTGACGTCAACTGAGGATATAGTCGGACGGTGGAAGGAATACTTTAAGGAGCTCCTCAATCCCACCATCACGTATTCCATGGAGGAAACTGAGCCAAGAGACCTGGGGATGGATGGTCTAATCTCCGGGGCAGAAGTCGCCGAGGTAGTGAAACAATTGCGCGGTGGCGGAGCCCGGGGTTGATGAGATCCGCCCTGGGTAACTCAAGGCTCTGGATGATGTAGTACTGTCTTGGTTGACACGCCTCTGCAACATTGCGTGGACATCGGGGGCGGTGCCTCTGGAGTGGCAAACCAGGGTGGTGGTCCCCATCTTTAAGAAGGGAGACCAGAGGGTGTGTTCCAACTACCGTGGAATTACACTCCTCAGCCTCCCTGGTAAGGTCTATGCCAGGGTACTGGAAAAGAGGGTCCGGTCGATAGTTGAACCTCAGATCGAGGAGGAGCAATGTGGTTTTCGTCCTGGGTGTGGAACTGTGGACCAGCTCTTTACCCTCGCTAGGGTGCTGGAGGGAGCATGGGAGTTTGCCAATCCAGTCCACATGTGTTTTGTGGATTTGGAGAAGGCTTACGACCGTGTTCCCAGGGGCACCCTGTGGGGGGCACTCCGGGAGTATGGGGTGGATGGCCCCTTGTTAGTGGCCATTAAATCCCTGTACCAAAGGAGTGTGAGTCTGGTTCGCGTAGCCGGCAGTAAGTCGGACCTGTTCCCGGTGAGGGTTGGACTCCGCCAGGGCTGCCCTTTGTCACCGGTTCTGTTCATAACTTTTATGGACAGAATTTCTAGGCGCAGCCGGGTGGTGGACGGGTTTGGGTTCGGTGGCGGGAGGATCTCGTCTCTGCTTTTTGCGGATGATGTGGTCCTCTTAGCTTCATCGAGTGCCGACCTTCAGCTCTCGCTTGGGCGGTTCGCGGCCGAGTGTGAAGCGGCTGGGATGAAGATCAGCACCTCCAAGTCTGAGGCCATGGTTCTCAGCCGGAAACGGGTGGATTGCCCGCTTCAGGTCGGGGGGGAGGCTCTGCCTCAGGTGGAGGAGTTTAAGTATCTCGGGATCTTGTTCACGAGTGAGGGTAGAATGGAGCAGGAGATCGACAGGCGGATTGGGGTGGCGTCAGCAGTGATGCGGGCGCTGAATTGGTCCGATGTGGGGAAGAGGGAGCTAAGCCGGAAGGCGAAGCTCTCGATTTACTGGTCGATCTACATTCCAACTCTCACCTATGGTCATGAGCTTTGGGTAATGACCAAAAGAACGAGATCACGAATACAAGCGGCCGAAATGAGTTTCCTCCGCAGGGTGGCCGGGGGTGGCCTTAGAGATAGGGTGAGGAGCTCGGTCATCCGGGAGGGACTCGGAGTAGAGCCGCTGCTCCTCCATGTCGAGAGGAGCCAGTTGAGGTGGTTCGGGCATCCGGTGAGGATGCCCCCTGGACGCCTCCCTGGGGAGGTGTTTTGGGCATGTCCCACCGGAAGGAGACCTCGAGGTCGACCAAGGACACGCTGGAGAGATTATATCTCTCGGCTGGCCTTGGAACGCCTCGGGATTCTCCCGGAGGAGCTGGTGGAAGTGGCTGGGGGCCTTCTGGACCTCTTTGCTGAGGCTGCTGCCCCCGTGACCTGGATCCGGATAAGCGGGAGACGACGACGACTAATTAATTAGATTTGTACATGTATAAAACAATGTGCACATGTGGCTTATTTATGAAATATATTTTAAAATGTCATTTATGTAAAATAAACACTGGTTTATTAAAGGTCTGTAGGAGAAAGAAGAAAGTGAAGGAGCTTCTTGTGTTTTAGTGGAAGAGAATATTTACTGATTTCTCTTGTTCAGTTATTTTGTAATAGGTTTGCAGGTTTCAATTTCACTTTCTATCTTATTTTCATTTAACAACAACTTAAACTCAATTATTTCAATGTTCCTGACTTACTTGAGAAACATAACACGAGTATTTCTGGAACATCTTCCTCAAACAAATAAATCAAGTCCTACATGATGATAACACAAGACACATTTTTTTTTCTATCTTTGCGTGCAGTTGACAGGAATGACAAGAATCGGTTTCCATGACGTCTAATGGAAAGATGTCGATCTGAATCTTGTAGATAGATATACAGACACTGTAGATTCACATTGGCCCTCATTTATCAAACGAACGTACGACAGAAAAACAACAATTTCCACGCAAGCTTCGGCATTTATCAATTTGGACGTGAGCGGAAGCTACGATCAGATCTCACGTCAGGTCTGAGCTCGTGTACGCAAATCTGAATCTGGATTTGCGGTGCAGCAGCAAAATCTGGCTGAGTCTGAAAATAATTATTAAACAAACCTCAGCTATCATTAGCATAAACAGTCACATATTTAGAACAGATCAAAACGGATTCTTAAAACGAATAAAACGAGATTAAAAAAATTAGAATTTTAAAAAAATCCCACGTTTTTTACTGATACCACTTTTTTGTACAATAAAACAATATGATAGGCTAAATAGCCTGACATCTAATCTCCTATGACATCTAATTATTGCACATTATAATATAATAATAATTAATACAAGCAGAAATGTGTGTTTGCAAAAGAAAAATTGTCTTGTGTTATCATCATGTAGGACTTGCTTTATTTGTTTGGGGAAGATGTTCCAGAAATACTAGTGTTATGCTTCTCAAGTAAGTCAGGAACATTTTAATAAGACAGAGCTTAACAAACACAGTGAACTGCTGGGTCAACAAAAGGTCCAGTGGGTAAGATGATATGTGCATATAAGAAATGTGTGAAAGAGTATGAAGAGAAATGGGGTTAAAGTGGGTCAGTCTCAGAACATTGAATACACGATGGCAGTGTTTGAGATGAAACAATAACTGTTGTTTTGACAATAATTATTCCAACAAACTGTATGCTCCTGTTGTCCTGTACTACAACAGTGAAAGTGAAAGTGACAGTGAAAGATCATCTTTATCACAACCAGACATCTATGCTGTTTGTCCGAGTAAAGTATTTCGGTCGGAGGTTAACAACAGATAAGAGAAACTCACATTTCATAGGTGTTTCATGAACATTATCAAGATTTCTGAGAAAGGAACTGAACGAATGTGACCGAAAGCTTGTCTTAACATCATCAAATGCTTCTTGAGTCCTGTTTAATTTCTGTTTGAGAATATATTTATTTTCTTTTTTGCACAGGTTGAAATAAAACAAGTGAAAATCAAATAACTAAACCATAAAGCCAAAGGTTTTTATTGAATAATTCCTACATAATCGAATATTACAAATACTTAGAGATAACAATCACCTTTTTGTGTGCATCTCTTGTTTATATCTTGTTCCAAACGTCTGGGATGTTACAGAGTCTGGTGAAGTCTTTACCGATAGGCTGCAGAGACTCTGTGTCTCTAAATGGATCTGTTCTTTGAATAATACATACTGTACTTTGGCATTTCTTGCTCTTATTATGTAGTGCACAGTGGAGAGCTGATATAAAAGTAGACGAGGGTGGAAAGAGGGTGGAATTAATAATTGATGTAAAAGCTCAATGGGTGTTAAAATTAAAGCTAATATCTATAACACCAACAGAAAATGAATAATAAATTGCATATATCAAACTCAGATTATCGTTAGTTATTTATATCTTTATTTCACCTTTGTTTTGCCTAATTCAACTAAGTATGACCTTTTCAAGGGATAAATGTTGCACCAGCAAGTGAAAATAAAGTTATGACAGACCAAACCACAATGAAGATTATGAACAGGTCCATGTATAGCAGAGATAAGAAATACCTTATTATTAGCATATTACAGCCTGTATTATAATTACAGGCTGCAGTTAATCTTTAAAACTTTATCATTGTCCCAAAGAGGAATTCTAACAATCAACAACATGTAATTTCTTTAAAACATTTTTACTGATAGATTAACCTGAGGCAGTAATATTGTATGTAATATCGTTTTGTATTTACATATATAAGTATAATGCATGTCTTTTTACACAGTGTGTGTGTATATTTGTAAAATCTACATAGGATTCAAATAAGTATTTTCCTAACATATTTTGGGAAAGTGAGGACATTTTGTTCTCTCTTCATTTTCTGGTACAATTTTAAAGGTCTTTAGGACATGGTTTCAGAGTTACAATAAGGTTAAAGTCAGGGTTAGGGTAGGGCATTCAGTTGTGATGGTTAAGGTTAGGGTAAAGGGCTAGGGAATGCATTTTGTCAAAGAGCTTTCTCACAAAGATAGAAGTGCAAGGTGTCTGTGTGTCTGTGTGTATAAGCTTTTTGATATATTCTATATTTTCACACACGGTTACAGAAGCTGTCCTGTTTCCTGTTTTGACTAGATGTTGATGATGTGTTGAGGCCATTGATTATAGTTCTTTACTCTCTACCAAGAATTTGTAGATAAAGCATGATGCGTAGTAACAGTGCATTCAAGACCTTTTCCATGTCAGCCGCTGCCTGAACTTCTTTGTACATGGCGTTCGTGTAACATGATCCCCCGTTTCCTGCCACCATGTCGTCGATCTTCTTGATCAGCTCCACGACTTGAGTTGTGTCTTGCTTGGTGTTTTCAAAGGCGTGGAACCTGCCTCCACATGTTCGGATGACTTTACGAAGGTTTTCACTGCCTTCACGTACATACTCCTGTATGGTCATGTCTCCAAGATCACCACCGCGGGTAAACAGCACAATCATGTACTGGTTTGCTTTTGGACCAAACAGCTTCTGCAGGGCCTCCACAGAGTTTTTCTCTTCTTTGGTGAATCGACCAATTTGGATGACCAGCAGGAAGACATGAGGACCAGGACATGAGACTTTGATGCATTTCACAATTTCTTGTTTGATGAATTCTGGGGAGACCTTTGTGTCCACGATCCCAGGTGTGTCTATCACACTCACCACTCTGCTACCAAAGCGTTTCTCACTTCTATCACAGGAGATAGTCACTGACTCTGAACAGGGACGAGAGTTGAATTGACGCTCTCCCAGAATGGTGTTTCCAACAGCACTCTTCCCCACACCAGTTTTCCCAATCATCACGATTCTCAGATCAGTTCCTGCAAAATAATTCATATGTTCAGTTTAGTCTGTCTGAAAGAGTTTATCATTGGCCTGATGTATAAATACTTTAGGGAGTAAATAAGGAAGTAAATTATACAGTAAATATACAGTGAGTGTAAGTCTTACCTGCAGGAATTGAAGCCATCTTTCCTCAACACCTTTGTCTCTGCACAGTCGACAGTGAATCTTGAAGCATTTGTTTAAGACATTGTTGTTTATTTATATGGCTGAAACAGCGGACACGCCCCTTTATATTTGCATAACAGGTCCATATAATACAGGCAGAGAGCAGCATTCTGCAGATAGCTCACAGCTTGTTTGTATTTTGTTGGCGTGGATCTGAGGCTCATGTCTGACAGTAAGTTATGAAATGATGACTTTTTATTCAGAGTGATTGTTCTTAATATTTTGACTGCCTTATGTCAGTAAGACAGCACTGTCATAGTAACAAGAAACCAGTTTAGATTAATGGTAAAAATTTAACCACATGTGGATTTTAATTGTACGTATCAGATTATCTTGGGAATTGAAGATTCTTCAGAGAAAGATCTAATAAGAGAGAAATCCGATGCCAACCAAAAAGAGGTAAAGTTGTAAAGGCAGAGACGTAAATTAAAGATTGGACATGGATGCAGGCTACATTTACAATATACTGTGCACACCCTGTCTTTCCGGTGTAGTGTGGTGAGCCGAATCCAGGTTAAAGCTGTTATCGATTAACAAACCTTGACTATAGGAGACCTTTTAGTATTTTGAGTGAGACTTTTCTTACAAGAATATCATTTGTAGTTAATGCTTCAACCACAAAGTGAAAGTAGTATGAGGTTGTTGTAGCTCTACAAAACTTAACAGGAATGAAGTCTGGGTGGATGGATATTTGCCTGTTAAGCTTGTCAGTGTGCCTAAACCAGACCTCAACTATAGAGGTGGCAGATCAGAAAACAGTCATATCACTAATATGGGATGTTTGGAAGGCATCAACAAACAATTAATTTGTTTTGAGTATGTGCTTTCATGGTCCAAGGAACAGCAATTCATATGGGTTTAATTTATGTTTGGGATGGTGGGGATATGTCCCCTACCATTTCTATAATAATCTGCATTTTGATTAAAATTATTTTTAAAATATGAACATTTTAAGCATCTGGTACGACACTTTAACCATTTCCCATGGCACGGTTATAACCTGAACATACAAAAAACTGATTTACAGGATAGCTAATCACAATGGTTATACTGTTCAGCTATTCTATATGTGTAACTACTACAACTAATTAATTAGATTTGTACATGTATAACACAATGTGCACATGTAGGCGCTTAAACTGCACAAAGGCACATGTGGCTTGTTTATGAAATATATTTTAAAATGTCATTTATGTAAAATAAACACTGGTTTATTAAAGGTCTGTAGGAGGTGGAAAGAAGAAAGTGAAGGAGCTTCTTGTGTTTTAGTGGAAGAGAATATTTACTGATTTCTCTTGTTCAGTTATTTTGTAATAGTTAGGTTTGTAGGTTTCTGTTCCACTTTCTATCTTATTTTCATTTAACAACAACTTACACTCAATTGGCAGTTTATTAGGTACACCTAGCCTGTGTTACAGTGGAATCAACGCTTCTATAAAACGGCTTAAAAACGTTCACATTACAACCTTCATGAATGTAGAATTCACTGCAGCCTGTGGTGGGGCGTTTAGAGTTACACAAGTCTGTTTGTTGAATAGATGAGCTGAAATATTAGTGGGAGATTTGAATCTGACATCCTCTTAATTTATTTCAGGGTCTGGGAGAAACACGAAGCAGACACAAAAAACAGAGTCGGTTGTGGCTGAAGAAGGGACTGAAAACACGGGCAGGAAATGAGCACAGATGTGATGCACAGATGTGAAGTCAGACCTGCGTCTCAGAAAGACGGACGAGAACGTCTCCCGATCATTTCCTGGGTCCTGTTGCTCATTCAGCTCCACTGACTCCGACTGTGACGCAGCAAAATGGCGTCGACTGTGAAACGTGAAAGAACAGGAAAAAGATCGTCGTGTTTCAGCCAGGCAGCCAGAAGCATCAGGGACGCTCTGCCCAGGATCTGCAGAGTTAATTCTGCAAACCGTGACCCTGACCATACTTGTCTTGATCTTCGTAGTCGATCTATCTATGAAGCCCAGACAGAGCGGCATTGTCTTAATCCTAAACATTCATCTCGCCTTATAGTGAGAGGTTCTACCGGTTATTCTTCATACCACTGTGGTAAACCAGTTCAAGAACCTGATAGAGGATCTGTCTATCGCTATACTGATACTTCCTTGTTGAAAATAGACGCAGAGATGGATTCTCTAGACTCCCGGTCTCTTGGAGGATCTGTCTATGAGACCGGTAAATTTTTATCACATGAGTCCTTGTTGAGACCTGAGTCTCATGGTTATTGTAAAAATGAAATGATGTCTTACAGTCCATGTCCACAATCCAGTCCTGTTGACTGTCAGATAATCTCTGCAGAGAACAGGAAGTTTAGACGAGCTCAAAGTTCACCTGACGTAACGTTACAAACCAGCTACGAGGAGTTTACACCCGATATCACCGAGGAAGAAAGCGATGAAAGCTACAGCTTCCAGTGCTCCCGCCCAGGCCTGTACCAGTGCAGAGTGACAGGCCTGCTGTTTCACATGGAGGGAGAAGGGGACGTGGTTTACAGGATCGTCCCCTGGAACAGGAGGCGACTGGCTCAGTATCACAAGAAGCCTGCAGGACCCCTGTTTGACATCAGATGTGTCCAGCAGTCTGTGTGTCGGCTTCATCTCCCACACTGTGAGATCAGCTCCACAGGAGGATGTCAGTTCCTGTCAGTAGCTCATGTGAAGGAGGAGAGCATGGAGTTTATCTCCCCTCATGAGATAACAGAAACTCATGTCATTATAAACATCACTGGGTTTTCTGGTTTCGGTAATGTCAAGGATGAAGACTCGCCTCCTGTCCCGGTCCGAGCGCTGGTTCTGCTCTTCTACAGGCCCTCACCTGATCCTGATGTTGAATCTGTGATCAACGTGTTGTTGCTACCAAAAAATGTGTCTCTCCGGGACGTGCAGCGCACCAGAAAGAAGTTAGTCGGAGATGAGAGGTACATAGAAAAAACCCCACAGTGTAAACTGCAGCCGGATCAGGTTTACACACTGTCCACTTGTCCTGAAGACGACTCGGTTCGAGTCGAACCGACAGAATATGAATTTGTCTGCAACGACTACAACAACTTCTTCCCATCATTCCAGGTGTACTTAAAAAAGATGATGAAGACAATCCACCTGTTCTTGAAAGAAAGCAAAAGCTCCCACAGTGTGTGGGTGAGAGAAGTTTGTCTTTCGTTGACCACAGGAAAAAGCTCCCATGGGTCGAGCCAGACGCTGATGGACATACGGAGCGGTTTGATTCAAGCGATATCAGAACCTGTTCTCCAGAGTCTGCTGGACAAACTGTTGGAGATACAGGTGATCACGGACCCTGAGTGGGAGTCAGTGGACGAGATGCAGAACAAACGAGACAAAGCTCGTTTTGTCATCGACACAGTGAGGAAGAAAGGTGAAGCTGCCAGTTCAGAGATGATCGAGTTTCTCTGTGAGGTCGACCCCTTCCTCTGTGAACACCTCGGCTTGCTCTGAAGATAAACCTTGAATGCATCACCGGGATCTTCATGATCTGGTGAACCCATGTCCATCCCCATGAAGTGCTGATTCTTGTTGAATAAGTGAGACCAGGGCACACGCAGAGAAGAGTAGTTGAAGTCACATGTAGCCTCTGTATAAACTGAAAACATCCTTTTCTTAGGATATATATTTTTCATATCTTCTGTATGTCCTGTCGGAGAATGGTAAAGACAAAACTGTCCTCTACCCATTAGAAAGATATTACTATAATAATAAATCACAGTAAGTCCTCTGTTAAATAAATATTAATACTTGCAATAAAGAAAATATCTACAAAGAGTCTGTGAAGGATTTACTCCAGCTCTCTGGTGTTGATTCATGGTTCTTCTTGTTCTTGGTTTTCCTTCAGTTTGAGCTTCTGTTTCTGTCCTGAACTCATCCACTGCTGTAGTGTGGATTAATGGCGGCAGGGGGCGCCATAACAACAAGGAACAAGGGAGACATTTAGAGGTGACACAGCTTCACTGAGATGGTACAAATATCAGAGCAAAACTACCTGTTCTCATAAGCATCTGATATGATGTGATGGGAGACAGATCAGAGTTACAGCTGTATGTACCATTAAGTTTAAATGGACTTCACAGCAGAATTAACAGTTACTCTTTATTAAACAGAAGAACAAAACTAATGTCCTGTTCGGTTGTAAGTTGAACAGTGTGAATAAAAAAGAAGAAGAGGAAGAAATCACAAAGCAGCTGATCGAGTGTTTCCTGCGTTACATGACGAGCAGCTCAGCGGTGAGTCAGACATTAAACTGTATTAACGTCTTTATTAAAAGATAAAAGTTTGTGAGTTTGTTAGAGATGAAGTGTAAAGGAAGAGCATCTGTCTGGGTGAGTCAGTTTATCAAGAGGCTGTGCAGTGTTAGTTCTCTTTTATAGTTTATCAGCTTTTATGAAATGTAACGCTGCTCTGTTTAAATATCAGTTACAGGAATTTATGGAAAACGTGGTTTTAATCTGACATTGTTTTCTCAGCTGTTTGAAGCTTCCTGTCTCCTTCTTCATCGTTTGTGTTGTGTTGAGTTTTTGTTGTTTGAATGATAAATGACTAATGGCAGTTTATTAGGTACACCTAGCCTGTGTTACAGTGGAATCAACACTTCTCTAAAACGGCTTAAAAACATTCACATTACAACCTTCATGAAGGTAGAATTCACTGCAGGCCTGTGGTGGGGCGTTTAGGGTCACACAAGTCTGTTGAATAGATGAGCTGAAATATTAGTGGGAGATTTTAATCTGACTTCCTCTTAACTGATTTCAGGGTCTGGGAGCAGAAAAACACGAAGCAGACGAAGAGACAGAAAGAGAAGAGTCGGTTGTGGATTGAAGAAGGGACTGAAAACACGGGCAGGAAATGAGCACAGAGGTGATGCACAGATGTGAAGTCAGACCTGCGTCTCAGAAAGACGGACGAGAACGTCTCCCGATCATTTCCTGGGTTCTGTTGCTCA